TTGTTGCATGTTATATGCGGAGTCAAACTAGAGGGTAATCTGTGCAAAGCATTAGTGAACCCTGTGCCATCTCCTACCCCAACCCCCGTTACCTTCCTACTCTGTTCCCAGAGAAATCAGTACAGAGAATAGTACCACCCAACAGTAGTTAATCACAGCCATTCAGACAGCACACAACCATACTCCTAACCCAGCTTCCACTGCCTCAAAGTCGAATCATTATGAGCGATGAGTAGGAACTCAGAATTGCTGGAGCAAACTCGTCCTCTAATACCCGCCGCACCCGAGGGAAACTCATGCATAGCAAGGGACACGAAATCATAGACCATAGTTGCCACACCACTCCAGTTATAGACGAGCTTCTTTCCACCATCGAAAAACTGTATGTCGGAAGCCAAGTAGGAATCCGGATCATCTTCCACCCCACGTTGATACGGAAGCCATTTCATCCTTTCCAGCCCATTTGTAACATCCCAGAGGATAAACTCACCAGAGTGGCCTGCGGTAGCCAGGAGTTTGCCATTAGGACTCCAATCCATAGACTCGATTGAAAATGCAGGACACTCCCACTCGAATATCATGGCTCTAGTGGCTATGTTAAAGATTCTTATCTTCGATGGTCCAGTGCCGTCCAGGACCAAGGCGATCTGTTTAGAATCCGGGGAGAATCTCCCACTCCATGCGCCAGCAGTGTGAGTAAGGCAAGGGAAGCTTTTGAGATTGCCACTGTCGGCCGACCAAAATAGAACCGTGTTGTCCCTTTGAATGGCTGCAATCAATTTTGAGTCTGGACTAATGCTCACCCACAGGAATGTACCCGAATTGCTAGTTAAGTTGTGTCGAGGCCGCCTGGCTTCGATATCCCAGACTATGATTTCCTGGAGATGCCGAGGTTCTTTGGTCCTGAAAGCTTCGTCCTGGGTGAAACATATCATGAATTTCCCGTCCGGACTGAAGAGTGCAGTATTTCCTTCCAGCTTGGTTTGATACTCGCTCATATGGGTATCCAATGCTTTGCTCAATGTGTCCTTGATTGCCTGTTGTATTGGCAAGATAGCCTTCTCGTTTAGCCGCCACCCATGGGTACGGACAAGCTTCGTAGTTATTCCTTCAGCTGCTTCGGTCGAAAGCTGCAGCATGTCGACTTTCTGAACGCCCGAGGGATCCAGTATTTTCCCTTCGCTATTGAGATACCAAACTTTGATCTTGTCCGCTGATGAAACAAGAATATATCCTCCAATACTTGTCGCATTTGGTGCAAAGGAAAGTTGCAAGATGTTGATCGGCTCTTCTCCTGATTCATCAATGAATTTGAAAGTGCTACCCACTCGCTTATAGATGCTTATGCGTTTCTCGAGTGCGATGGTAATCAACTTGTCATCTGAGCTCAAACCTAGAGCGGTTATAGATTTTGAAGCCTTCAATTTGGAACTCTCGTGGCCCATACGGTGAGTAGGTGCAGATGGCTCTAGTATTCCTTGATGAGTCTCAGGAGTACTTTCTTCTGGGTCTCCATGAGGGACGTCCTGCGCTGAAGCTTTTCTCTTCTTTCGAGACCGAGCCATTATTTTTATTTTTATTATTTATTTTTTTCTTTTCAGTTTGGAATATGTTCAAGAGGTTATCACTAAGAGATTGATTTACAATTTCACAGATGACGAGTAAACAGAATGGTGTGTCAGTGAAGTGTGTTATAAACAGAGGTCACATAAATGAGATTTTCGGTGGAGTAGATGCAGTACCAACACAACAAGATGGTCATTCACTGCGGATACCACAGGGGCCTTGGGCTCCAACTGCCTCGTTCGCCCCGGTCTGAGGCTCCGTTGCACTCTATATGACAACCTTATTGTAAGATGTGATGCAGAAATGGAAAGCAAAGATCATTCTTATTCATCTGTATGTGTTCTTCCGAGTTGTTAGATACATTCATACAGGAGGCAGAAGATGAAGCAGCGGATCGAACGAAGAGGGGGGAGGAGGCCTGTTCCTTCCGCAATGGGAAGGAACGCTGTACCAACCGAACAAGAACGGCCGTGTTGTCAAGTCTAGTAACTGTATGGATGTGTTACTAGATCAGTAAAGATACGCACTTGTCATTTACCCCTTTAACTAAGTAGCGTTATTCAAAGTACTTGGAATGCCATTCGATGTTGAGGCGTTTCTCAAGCGCGATGGCAATCAACTTGTCATCAAAGCTCAAGACGAGAGTACTCTTCAATCCCTGAAGCTGGACTCAAATAGCCTCTTGACCCATGCGGTAAAAATTCCTCTCGTTAAGCTAGGGAGATCTGTTCTGAACACTTCTATCGGACATTTCCCCAGGAACTTTCCTGCGTTAATGCCGAGCCTCCGGCCCCATATAGATACGTTGTTTCATGCCTCATAATCCGAGAGAGAAAGGCAATACGGTGGGAGATAAGGCTAAATTAGCAATTTATCAAGGAAGCCTGTTCCTTTGATCCTCCAAATAGGCGATTGGAGAACTCCGTTGGAAGACAAGACTTCCTGAATAGCATCATCAGTGGAGCAGATTTTATGAAAGCTGTTGGCAAGAATAAATCTACCCTACGAGCCTAATAGAGCCCTCTGGGTCTATTAGATAAGATCAATTATACCATCTACTCAAAACTCGTGATAACATGCGTAAGTTAACTAAATCATTCCAGTAGATTCAAAACAATGATAAAATCGTACTTTCAAGTGCGAATGAAACCTGAGGTCACTTGCAACAGCGATCGCAAAGGAACCCGTGTCTAGATCAAGAGCCAATAGCTTGTGCCTGAATCTCAGGACTGTATACAGATGTTACAGTATAGGAGGGAATCCACAGCCGTCGGGTTTAAGCCAATCGGGGTCAAACCCCAGTATTACACATTACTAAGATCAATCAGCATCATGAGTCAAGTACTAGGGAAGGTCATGCTATCCAATGCGGCGGAGGGGGTTTGGCCTACCTAGCTATCTGGTGACCATCGTGTGCTCGAAAAACGGGGTGTAGACGTCAAGGCTATCACGGTCGCTCACGAGGAATCAAACACGTTGATACCTTCAAATGTAATACATCATCAAGGTAGTGTAGAAATGATGGTCGAAAACTTTCAGGTCCGGGGCTTTCACAGATAGGATTGACAGGTGCTCTGCATACTGGCTGAAGCATACCGGACGGTAATACATCTGCACTGTCAAATCCAAATTTCCGCGCGTTAACATAAAAGTCTAGACCGGTTCATAGTCAAAATGGAGGAGACAGGTCATATTGACTGGTCGATGGCGATGGAAAACCTGAGACAGTCATTGGCGCCGCTGTAGTGGTGGCCGACAAGGAGGTTGAACGAAGACTTTGGGAAACCGCGGTTTAGACTCAAAACAAAAGTACTGCAGAAGAGTGGATCTTTGATGCTGCAGGACAAAGTTCAGTTCACGGGCCCAGAGGTATGGAAAGCAACAGCACTTGGCACCTAATAGCCACCCGGGAAGCTCAGCAGCAAGCCCCTGGGGTCCCCAGCCTATGATGGAAGCATAACAGCACTCGTGGATCCACAGATTCTCACCTGGTCGCTGATCGCTAGACTTGAAGGAGTGGATTTCCGGCGACTCTAGACCTGGAACAGTGGACACGGACTCCCCCATTGCTGCTCCGGTCCGCATCCGTCGGTCACAATGGCGGGACTTGGCCTCTTTGTCCGTGAGGAAGTCAGTCGCGCGTGCAGAAAGTCGGCTGGTGGTAGACGAACTGAGGGGTCATGTCCATTTCCGTCCCGGTGGCGCCGCGTCGTGCCTTCTCGCCCGTGGCTCGTCCGCCTTATTTCTTTGTTGTCGCTCGCAACCGTGCAGCGAGGTGGAAAGTCATCTGTTCAACCTGTGGCTTCATAGCTATATCTGCATCGCCAATTACCGAGATAAATGTGTCGGACTCATGGGCGGACACGGAGGAGTTCGGAGGGTCGGATATCATCACGCTGAACAGCTAAAAGTTGCACCGTACCTCCGTGCCATTTGCGGAGGGTGGAATACAGAGTTCAGGACATCGACCTGGTCCAGGTGCCCCTGTCTTGGATGCATCCTCGTCTACTATGTTGCGGAGGCCCTATTAGCTGCATCGTGTGGCTGTGTGGAAGTTTATTTTATATTGGTGTATCTATCTCCTAACATGAACATTTATGTATCGTCCAGATTATAGAGTTTTTCCCCTTTCAACCATATTTCCCAGCGACACGGTCTGGGTATAGAAATATAAACAGGTATCTCTTGTAAAACCACGGTAACATGATACCGTGCTGAGAATTTCGGCTCTAACATGCGTGAAGTGTGTGGATTGAGACCACCGTCCAGATAGCTATCTCTTCGGGACTTCGGTCTGGGATGCGGTGATAAGACGACAAGCTGATAATTCATCAGAGCGTCGCTAAGCCCCGACAGTCGCTCGATGTGACGTCAGATATATCTTCGGACCACTGAGTTGTTCGCTGTAGCGGCGTTGAGGTCCTTATTTGGCCCGGATACTCCAGGATTATTCCGCGGTTGTTTTGGCGTGTGTCATACTGTGTATCGAAGAATGCCGGGAACCAATGACCAGGAGTCAGAGGCCTGCTTCTTGATACAATTTTTTTTAGCACTATTCAGGACAAAGGGTCGGACACTTACTACCCTCAATTTTATTCAGTAGGGAAATACAGGCGTTCATCGCGTTGTAGGCAACACGGTTGCACTCCAACCACGCCCCTAATTTGTTAGCATAGCCTATAGCAGCAAACGATTGATACTTGCAGAATCTGTGTGCATCACATGGCTGGCAATCAACGGAATGCAAAACGAGCTCTTTCTCAGTGGCACTCAAATTGACACGCTTCTCCATTGCATTGTACAAGCAAGTCTGGACAACAATTGGACAAGAGTAACCACGAGAATCTGATTTGAAGAAATTGATTTTTTCGACAACAGTTTTGCTGCATCATTAGCACTTTTCTTTCAAGACGCTGTGTACATCAACATTTAACTCACGTCATGTAATATTGCATAAGACCAATTCTGAAGATATAATGGTAACCATATATTTTTGCCAACCGAGCGAGATCTTCGTTTGCCATCTGCTCAGCACGGACAAGGGCATAGTGGAACTGAAACAGGTCTTCCCCTTGGAGCAACTTTTCAATTGTTGGGTCAAGGATGCTAATAAGCTGGATGGGATGACCTTCGATGTCGGCAACGGATGCATTAACACAATAGTCGGCCATGATGGCCTTCAGAGGTTTCCAGTGACGACGGACAGGTACATCAACAGATTTGCTTGGGCCATATATCTGATGGAAATGGAGATTCAAATCTTCGCCGTTCGCCAAGGCGGTAACATGCGCCATGAGTCTAGCAACACTATGGTGGACAAGGAAAGAAGCTGAGATAAATGCTGCACTCTCGCGAAGTTCAGCAGCAAGCAGAGTATTGCCAGCTATACCATTAAGATAGTGCAGTAGGGCATGGATCTTAACCTCCATCGTGAAGAACAAAGAGGAACTGTTAGATTCTGGAACCGAATGTGTTCAGAGGTTCAAGGAGGAGGAAGATGAACGGTACTAAAAAGTGATAGGACAGAAATGTAGAAAGGATGTCAAGAAAGAAGACTAACATAGAAAGTTTGACTGGTGGTGTGTATGTATTAGCGCAAACAAACAATCAACAAGCGCCTTCGAAGCCAAACACAGAACTCGTATAGCTTCGTTATTAAATTCACGTCAACAAAGAATAGTACCCGCTGGCGCCACCGCCTAGACACAGCTCCATCTGTCAAGTCTAACACAAGTGGGCACCTTTTAATACAGAGAGAATCTTATAATTCAAAACTGTCTCTGAGTTACTTCTATGCTTGAAATCTCTGATGCTTTCCCATAGTTGCTCCCATGACTCTATAACCGCTGCTCAAGATCATGATTAAGCTGTTCATACCTTGAGTCTTCCTTTGCCTTTATATCAAATGCCAAGATGACTTCTATGCCTCAAGCATTGAAGCCAACTACCGAGTCCAGCGACAAGCTTACAGAGCTACTTTGGCAGGATGCTTTGCGCCATCTTGGATCCACGAATAATGAAGTTCTACTTCCAATAAATGTCATCGACATGATCGGCCAGACCAATGTTAACAAGATCAAGACTCGCCTTGGGTAAGACAGCTATAGCCACAATTGATCAATTATGTGCTCATATATGGTATTAGTGCTCTCATAGGTGCTTCAGTTGTGGCTTTTGCCGATGAGTCAATCAACGCTGTTCGTGTCATGCGTACTCCAGCGTTTTCAGGCACAGCAATATCTGTAGCATCCCATGAGGTGTCATGCGAATCAATCACAGCTCATATGAAGAAGCATGAGCGGCCTTCTGTGACTGTTAAGGCTGCTAAGGTTCCTCGTCCGCCAAATGCATTTATCCTGTACCGCCAACATCATCATCCTAAGCTCAAGGAGGCTCACCCGAATCTTTCAAATAACGAGATTTGTGAGTTTCCACTACTGTGCATACGTTGGATAATCGACTAATTTCCCCAGCTGTTATTCTAGGGAAACAGTGGAAGGCAGAATCCGAGGATATCAGGGTCGAGTTCAGAGCCCTGGCCGATGATTTGAAGCGGAAGCATGCAGAAGCTCATCCCGACTACCAATACACACCACGTAAACCATCGGAAAAGAAACGTCGAACATCATCTCGCCGAAATTCCAAACAGACTGTAGAGAACAAGTCTCCAGATCTCACGACGGCCAGCACCATATCAACAAGTCCGTCAATCGACACATATGGGCCGATAAACGATATGGGAATTGAAGGGACGATGAATATCTTTACAGAATACAATATGCCAGAGATTTACCCCAGCGAATTGATATGCGGCGACATAATGCCAAGCGAACTACCACTGTTATCGGCCGATCACTTCCAGTTAGACACGGAGACATTGGGTTCGTTGATCGGGCAGGTTCATACAGACATCGGAAAAGGGACAGGAGTGTATGCCTCTCCATCGGCCCATGTCAACTTAACAGACCGACATCTTGGCGAAACTGTCAACTTCTCAGAATTTATTTCCGATCTTTATTGAAAGGGGAAAGCATGTTTTCACTTTCCGCCTTTGTTTTTTCCATTTTCTATATCTATTATACGGTCTTCAACGGCGAGCTCGAAAATTAGAGGACACGGCAGGTCCTTTATATGAAATTGTCGCGTCCACACTATACCCCTATGTACCTGGCCTAGAATCATGTCACCAAGCTCTACTAGGTACCTTATTTTCGGTTATTTCATCCTCTGATAAAATAAAAGCAGGCGGCGATGGAACCATATCTATATTTATTTAAGGAGCATGTACGTTTCGCAATGACAACATATTTAGACAAGTCTATCAGATAGTACGGGTTTATCCAAGAAGCCGAATAATATATGCATCTTTGATAGTGTGCGTAGCACTAGCACACACTGTCAGCTTACACAGAGAGCGAACATGAGAATTAGGGCCAACAATTAAGCACCCACCCCCTGCATTTCTGTAACTCACCACTTAAGGCCCGTATTATGGCAATATTCTAGTAGTATTGAAAATTGGGCAAGATCTGCAGCACCTGTGAATTGACGAGTAAGCTGTCAGGCTGGAGAGACATAGAAATGCCGGGGGCTGGTTGAGTGTTACTTCATTAAGAAATGTCTGGACCCACAAATAAACGGTATTATGGGAGACTTGATCTAGGCCTGTCTCGAGGGGACCAGAAATGTTTTGAGCAGCATTATTCACTGGTTAGACTGAAGACGAGAGGTATTCAGTTGCTATATTGATACGAAGCAGGCAAGCAGACAGGAATCCATCTAAGAAAGTCTCTTACTGCAGTTGTGGGTAGACGAAGGGGTCCTATGAGTTGGCGAGGCTTGTTGCTACGAGGCACAAGATACTCAGCCGAGACTTTTTGTCATTACTCATTAAGTAGCTATGGGTGCAATGCGAGTATGATATTAGCCAAGGAATCAACAGAGTGTGGGCTGTAAGCTGAAGTTCTGACTACGTAAATTGCGCGGCGTCTATTACATCAGACGCGCGTTGTGTTGGTACAGACAGCAATGACTACCTTACGATGAAATACAAAACATAACCTGTGGTTTTGTTTCTTTTGTTGCTGTGGCTAATTATGACATCGAAGAATTCCTATCACTTGCCCAAATAAATGTCGGACAGCGCCATTGTGTACCTTTCTCCTTGTTGCCACTGGGTCCGAGAGGCCGAGGACAAATCCAAAAGGATCGCCCACAGTTGATGCCAGGCTTTTTGGTTGTCAAACTAATGCATGGCTCCTGGTGACTTTCGCATAGGGGCGCGCGCTTTTTGGTAAATAGCTTCGACCAATCTTCCTTGCTCGCAATTGGGTCGACGAATGTGTCATCATCAGTCGGGGTGTCTGATGTCGTTGACACCGGTGGTTTGGTTTCCTTTGTGGAGTCTGTGGTCACGGCCGCCGCAACTTGCTCCTTGTCTATTGCCTGTGACTCTGCCGAAGAAATCATCTTGGATGGGGATGCAGGTTGCGGCATGGCACATATTTCAGGGTCGGTCGTTGGTTGATCACGGCTCTGTATGGCTGGGGAACTCTTCGGCTTGAAGAATCCCTTGAGCGTTCTCTGTCCAGTAACCGCCGGCGTGGGTGCTAAGCCAGCTACTGATTTGGAACGTTTCACAGGGGAGTCGCCCTTCTCGGACCGTTTACGGACTATTCCCTTGGGCTGGGGATCGTTCTTCGGAATGGCGTGGTCGGCGACTGCTTCAGTTGAGGGCTTTCCGATGACGACTTTCGATTCTCCACGATCCGAATTCGCACGGGAAAGCGTAGGGGTACTAGTTGGGGAGCTCTGGGGGGCGTTATTGGGTCTGCGCGTGAACATGTCCTTGATGCTCCTTCGTTTGTCAAACTCCGGTATCAAGCGGCCCGAAGTCGGTAGTAAACACTTCGCCGTATACTCTTGTCGACGCTCACCATTTTCGAACATTCCAGGAGGGTTCATGATGTCCCGGATGTTAAGTTGCTTCCCTTCAAGATGTACGGTTTCTCTGAACGTCGCATACACAGGACAATGGTCAGAGCCCTGCGCAGTCATGATTAGCAAGCTCTCTTCTGGGTCAGGGAAGACTAGACTACCATAAGTCCTTCTTGTATGTTTGAATCGCAGAACCAGTCTTGCATATCCAAGCTACACAAGACATAGTCAATTCTTGAGCCATAATTTCCCGGGCGAGCATTGATTCGCTGCTCCCAGCAGGTGTACATTCCCTTGCGGTCCGGATGAAAAGAGCGACAGATGTCATGCAGAACAGGCTGTTCTCTTCCTTCTTCCCGTTCCCCAATCACCTTCCCGTCGGATAGCAACTGATTGAACACACGTCGAGCATGAGTGGATACGAACTCGTCTTCTGTCAATGTCCCTTTTCGGATAGCCTCCCCCGCATGAGCTGCATCGATCTCTCCCCGCGAGATATTCAAGTCCCCCGTCACAAACACCCTCTTTCCCATAGCTACTAGGTTACGGATCCGCGCGTCCATCAGGTCGATAAAATTGCGGCGGAATGAGTCGCGGCTCTCATCCCTATTGGCCGGTGAATAGATGCCCAGCAGGACAAAGGCGGGAAACTCGAGAATGACGCAACGTCCCTCGGAGTCTAGCGTGGCTGCATCAACATCAAACTGCGACAATTGCTCGATGGTTGGATAGCCACCGATCTGCTGATTCTCTGGAAGTTCCCGAAAGGGCACCGACGAGTTCGGGGGACATAACATCCCCGAAAGACCTTCCTCAGCGCGAATGGGGGTACATGTAGAATTGCGTGTGTAGATCACGACACCAGAATAGCCTATGGTTGTTAGTCAGTCAAGCATTCATTCACAGACATATCGTACATACCTTTCTTGACTCTAGGCAGACTAAAATAACAATCCCAACCAGGCACTAGGACCATGTCATCGCGCAAGTCTTTGCGCTGGATTTTTGTTTCCTGAAAGACGACAATATCGGCCTCGAGGATATCAAACATGGCCTTTCTAGAGTCAGTCTACTGCTTGTAGAAGGAATGATGGAAAGCACACATCGAACGTCCGCTTGCCTCTCCATGGCTCATAAGAAAAGGGATTTCTGCATTAGTTGATCAGCAATGCTATTCCAGCATGCACTAGACAGCATCACATACCGAATCCCGTTGACTGAGCACTGTTAGCACCCTTATGGCAGGGGTTAGGGCCCGGGAAACATACCGTTCCATGTTGTAATTCGAAACCCCATTCCGGCACTATGGATGCCAATCACACATGTCCGCCCAGGAGTTACCAGAGTATCCCATTCAACGAAAATTGATAGATAAAAGCCCGCCACTCATGTAAAGCTACCAACTTGATAGTTCACACCGACACCGATGATTCACATCAACAGAGGTGTAGTAGTAGTTACAAAGCAATGATTTACCTCGCCAATGCAGGCCGGAAAAGAAGGGAGGCGACGAGGCAACGCTGAACCGCCGAAGGCAGCAATAACATGTGCCTCAGGCAGTCCACATCCAGAGAGACATAGACAGCCAGAGGCACGTATAGTCACGGGACAAAGGTTAACGAGCGGTGCATATGGCACGTGACCACAACTAGCCACTCCATCCCCGTGAACGTGACATCACGCGATCTGAGCCCGTTGCTGACATAAGCCTGCTGGGGAGCCAGCGAATCACGGGGACGCTAAACGGCTTTTGTTTCGTTAAGCCGGAAGGGCCGACGTCCGGGATAATCCCACCGTCAAAGACGTCGTCCCATCTCTCCAACGTCACTCCTCCACACCATCCACCTCCAGCCATGTTCCCTCAGCGTAACGCCCTTCGTCTGTCTCAGCGCGCTGCCCAGCAGCTGCGTGCTGCTCCGGTCCGCTCCACCGTCCAGCGCCGTCTCAACAGCTCCGACTCCAAGCTTCCCTCTTGGGCCGCCGACAACGAATTCAACCGCGAGAGAGAGGCCGTCAAGCACCATGCTGCTGCTACCAGTGGTGCGTATCTAGATCAATTGATGTCGTGGTTTTTCAAGGGTGTGGTTGTGCTAACTCAATGGCTGGTCTTCCTACTTCAGACCTGTGGCGCAAGCTCTCCATCTAGTATGTGGAACTAGCTTATTACTACCTCAATTGAACTTCTAGTAACCATTTATTTCCTCGCAGCGCCGTCATTCCTATTCTGATTGCCGGAGGAATCAACTCTTACAACCTCTGGAACGAGCACTGGGAGCACTGGGCGCACATGCCCCCGCTCGAGGAGCGTACTGAGTACCCCTACCAGAACATCCGTGTGAAGAACTTCCCCTGGGGAGACGGTGACAAGGTGCGTACCAGAACTTGTATATTTTTATCAATGTTAATTTGGTTGCTGACGATGTTATCTTTTTTTTTCCAGACCATCTTGTAAGTTCCTTACACCCGAACCGTCCAGCGTCGCGTACAACTCGATAGTCATACATAACCATGCCTACTAACAAACTCACAGCTGGAACTCCGACGTCAACTACCACAACAAGGACAAGGCTACCTAAGTGGCCGCTGTCGATCTTGGGAGTACAGCGTCTTTTTTGATTGATTCTGACTGTTGACGGGAGGGGCAAATCAAAAGACATGTATATTTACTGACAAAATACGCGGAAGTGAGAATAACGAGGCCAAGGCTCTCGTGGGTGGATTTGAGATAGCGCACCATACAATACTGCTAAGCCATTTTTCTTTTGTTGTGCTGCCTCGTTGTTTTCTAATGACCAGTAACGGTCGTATTGGCTTTCTTGGGTATTTCTTCTACCCGTATTACAGGAGTAAATTGGCGCAGAGGCCGACGCCAAAGACTTTGTTGGTAGATTTGTTGTTTCCCCTGTCATTTTGCAATATTTTAAACATACAATTGACATCAGTGCGTGATTCAATCAAGCCTCCCCAAAGTCTATCCTTGCTTGTCTCTTCAAGTCCAAGTACTTCGCCGCATAGTCATTTGCGAGGACCGGATCGCCCGTTAAATGCATAACAGTGGCTTTCTTGGCCACCATTTCACATTGGCCCCTGATATCTTCAATCTCCTCATATTGCTCATATGCACAGTCGAGGTATCCCAAAGCGCGAGTGACATGTTCCTTCCGCAGAACCGAATTCGTCTGTCCCTCACTCCAGAGAGACCCCGCGATCCCCATATTCGCGTCCACAAGAAGCGAGTGGGCCTGTGCAGCCAAGCTACAGTCACCCGTTTCGAGAATTTGCGGCATGATGCTCTCCATCAGCTCAGACACGGCATCGAACTCGCGCATGCTCAGAAGGACGCCTGCCAGCACGCAGATGGATTCCCAGAGGCTGGGAAGGAGACGCGAGCGGTGCGCGATACTGGCGGCTCTCATGGCAAGGGAGAAGCCGCGTTGTGGATGGCCTGTCTTCTGGAGGATGGAAGCCTTGAGACAGAGGAGTTTGACTTGCGTGAAAATGTCAAAGTTGTCTTGCTGGATAGCTTGCGCGGCTTTTTCAACCAGTTCGAGCGCGCCGCCGTAGTGGCCTTGTCGAATACGGAGGTCGATCGTGAGGATGGAAAGAAGAAGGGTAATGTCATTGTCAGGGAGTTGGATGGCTTGCAGTTGAGCAAGAAGGTGTTCGGCTGCAACTCGGTTGTCGCTAGATGCTGTGAGTGGATTGTCACGCAATTGAGTGCCAGGAACCTACCGGTATATCTGCTGTTGCAGCTGGAGGATACCAGAGAAGAATGTCCAATATTGATATGTTTTGAGCGATCGAAGCTTGTCTGGGGAGATCTGGTTCATTCGGGCCGATACCTCTGTGTAGCGGCCCTGCTGTGCTAGCTTTGGACGGTCAGTGATGTTGTTCGCTGAAAAGGACGTTTGACATACTAGTTGACAGCTACGAAACGTGCTCTTGAGATGGTCTTCAAACGGTGCTTTGTTTGCGTAGCATTCCCGAAAGGTCTCGCCGCTCAGCCATGCTAGATGTGTGATGCCTGCAATAAGGGTCTTAGGAGGAGTTTATACAATGACATGATATGGATGCGTACCAATTCTTGAATAAAGTGCAGCTTGTAGTAGAAGCTGCGGGCCTACCGAGTTCGCCAGGTTCTTTGTAACGTTGAGGTGTGAGGCTCGAATTATGTTCTCGATAGACGAGGCCAGACTTTCTCCCTGGAAGATGTTATGTTTAGGAATACATGAGGTTGGTCGACATGGGAAGACTTACATTACGCATCTCCAGCTTCGCTTCGCTCAATAAAGTCGTACTCAGTAGACTCCACATCTCTGTCTCTTTTGCCTTGGCCTTGAGAAATGCAAGGCCTTCTTTCTCGTTGCCCAACATTCCTGTATTCTGAACGTCTCTCATGTGCTCTGGAAAAGCCTTACCGAAGTGATACAACCAACTCATACAAAAATTTAAGCAGTTCATATCGTGGGATTCTCGAGCAATGGAAACAGCCTCCTGCATGGCAGAGACGGCCTCGCCATAACATCCAAAATCCGCCTGCAAGATGGCAAGATTCAGCAACGCGTATTGATAGGAGCTTCGATCGCGACTGTGCATAGTGCAGTCGAAGTAACGGTGCAGGTTGTCAAATGACGACGGATAATCTCCTGCCCTCCAGGCATCAAGGAACCTAGAGAGTCAGCCAGCATCCCGAGGTGTCGCAGATCAATTAGCCAACGGCATACCTCAGATAGTGCACCAGATTAGGAACAGTCACACCGGACGTGATGATGCGTTCTAATTGTGCTTTCATGCCATCCGGCACTCTTCCCCCCAGACCTGAACAAGAGTCAGTATTTAATATGCGGGCATGTAGAGGGGGCTCATTACTCTGTAGCTCGCTTATTTGGAATTCTAGGAGCCGCTCGACATCCTTTGTGCTGACGTACTGCTCATCCTCCGAGTCATCCTCGATACTGCCGTAGGCGACCTGCGCAAGGGAATCCGTTGTATCCAATCCAAGGTTTAGCAGATTGATATCCACAGGTGCCTGCTCGAGAGATGGATTCTTCCGCGCCCATACATGATACGTTGGCAGTCGATACTTGACAAACCCCCTCCAGAGCTTGACGGAGTCATGGAATTGCAGTCTAGTGAATTCTAGCTGGGAACGTCTGACAAACACACCCAAGGGAGAGCTCCGAGACAGGCGCATACAGCCCGTCTCCGGTGCAAGGCCCGCATCTCGATCGCGGATTTGTTCTTCTCTAGTCTTGGCTAGAATAGCCGAGATATCAGCGAAGAAGACTTCCAACGCATCGCAGCAATCGAGGGACCAGATCTTTTTCAGAAAAAGGTCCCAGATTGTACGGCCAGGGATGGAGGACGGGTGGCCCGTTAGTTTATCCTTCAGGTCAGTGATGGAGACGGAGCATTGCGTTGTCTGATCTCCCGATGGGGAAATGGATTGTTCTCTTTCCAAGGGGCTGAGACAGGTTACCAGATACGAGAGGACATGAATGGCGGAGGAGTTGGGAACAACACCTTCAGTATAGATGGAGATGAGACAAAGGAGGGCAACCTTGGAAGGGGTGAGATAGCGACTCATGGTGGTTAGAGGTTGTTATACATAGCCTGGCCCCACCAGGAGGAGGCTATGATAGTTGCAGCCACCACGCGGGCTGCAGTTCGCAAAGGCCAAGCAGCCAGGTGGAACCCAGTGGGAATGGATTGTGTTGGGAGTGTACAACACGAGTGATTCAGGAGCAATGGGCAGAGTGGTTGATACTGGCTGTTTTGGTTTTTTGGGATGCAGTTGGCCAGACCAATCCTCGCGCAGACGGCAGGCATAAACAGAACCGTGGAGGAAAAGCGTGAAGGGAAAGAGGGAAAAGAATAGTGAAGTGTAGGATATATACAAAAGAAATCTAATAACAAGTACATACGACCACAGGGTGTGGAAAACAGGGCTTCCCGTCCGCTCAGCCGTACTTAAGCCACACGCCGGGAGGTTAGTAGTTGGGTGGGTGACCACCAGCGAATCCCTTCTGTTGTATGTTTTTGTTTTTTTTTTTTTTTATCCCCATCTACTTTCTTTTCTATTCTACCCGACTTCATAAATAACAGGGCTACTACTACCGTTTGTCTACATCGCTTTCATGCAAAGATCGCTTTCATGCAAAGGGGCTCTGTCAGTGTTAAAACCAGTGTTAATGTAAACACGCAGCTTGCCTCTTGGTTACGGGCCGCTCATTGTGGTCGAGTATTGCTCATCGTTACATCTTGCTAGCCCTCTTGGAGCATTAGCATAAGACACAAATTTTCAATGCTTCTCAACCTACGATCCTTAAGTCGAAAGGCAACAAGAAGCATGGCATCATTTAGTGTGTCGTGAACAAACTTCTCCAACTCGGGTATGCCCTCATTACCGGCACTCTTGGTAAAAAGACATATCTCGTGGTGGTTGATATTGAGGCCAATGACTGTTTCCATAGGGGCATGAGTTAAGCAAGCTTCACGTTCAACCAACTGTGATTAAATAAGCTTCTGCAGCCCCATAAGAGTTTTGTAACAGACCTGCTGGTATTTCCAGCGTAGCGGTATTGATCCGCTCTTCGTTTGTCTCAATTCATAAATCGATAATATCGGAGACCGGAAGGAGATGCCCTCGAACCTATCGGCGAGGTCGAGCAAAACAGCGCCTTCTTGCTCGACACTGGATTTCGAGAGCTTCATTTTTCTACCTGTTGTTGCTTCCAAGATATCCCGAAAACGCATTAAGCTTGTAACCCCATCGCCATAACGGTGTGGAGTGCTAAAGAAGATAACGCCAGCTATAGCGTTGACAATCGACCCGTACCGAGTAATCTGCTTATTAGCAACACACAAAGCCTGCTTGACTATAAGGCCTCCTAAGCTGTGACAGACCAATAATATTGGCTTTTTGTGGTCTATTGAAAGTACTACATTAGCACGTTTCTACCGCGCCAAGCAAGCAAAACCACGACAGCTTAGCCTACCGAATCTAGGTCTGAGCCTGATCTAAAATCGCTTAAATTCTGGAGAAGGTCATAACCCAGCATCAGAATCGACTCCCACGAGGGATTTCTGCTTGCAAGCGGCGAGGAGTATTCGTACGAGAGAACGTTTGCCTTAGCACCGGAGCCTGGTAGGGATGCGAGCCAATCTGTGTTGGCAAACGGCCAATTCTTAGGTGGGATTGTTCCGATTCCTGGAACGAGAATAATGCTAGATCTAAAAGTAAGTAGATTTCCTGAACTGAGCCTAATGTGCGTTTTCTTACTCTACACTATCCTGTGATGTAACAGCCGGATCCAGCAGCACCTGCAGGTGGCCAGCAGTTGTGATATTGGTGTCTGTTGTCATGGGGGAGAATTACCGAAAGGTTAGCTATCCAGATGAATAGAGTAGAAAACTCGACTTGAGCAGTTTTCGTGGGGAAACAATAGCTAGCTCGGTTCATATCTGCCTGTCTTTCATCTAAGTTTCGCCCATAAGGCTCAGGTGCGGAGGTGGGCCCCTAGTACTAATCACATCACAGGCAGGTGTGCAAATGATTGGAATACCTCCGTAGGTGCGCATTAATACTTAGTACTACTTAGCAACCGTGCATGCCGTGTCCACTTCATTGGTGGATACTAGGCACACCATCAATATACTAAATTTCAGAAGCGCTTTCTCCACCTAAAGGGAATTTTTACACAACCCTAACAGCTACCCAGGGACACAAGACCAATTATTCTACTCAAAAGGGACACTTTGGCAGAGCGGCATAGCCCATGGCCTTACAGAGCCCCTCAGCCGATGTATCACAGATGAAGTCACATCCCCATATCATTTGCTATTATTGGCACACCTGTGCTGTAGGGGTCCATGATCTGTGGAGTACCTCATAGTCCAAAGAAGCGGAGAATATATGGTTGATATGTATACTATATATTATAGTGTCTACTGTGGAATTTGCTGTAGTACTCGGGCAGTGGTCTTGACATGATATGTTATGTTTGACAGACTTTACAGTAGTTAAGAAGAGCTATTAAGCACCCTGTCGGAAACTTCAAGTCGGCACGGGATAGTGTGATTTCTGAACTAGTATCACTGATTGTAGGCTTGGCAGATTATACTCAATGGGTCTATCGGAATACTTGAAGTCACAGGAGATAACGGACTGGCACTACATATGTAAATGGGCCACGAATGCTGCGAACAACAAATTTACTTAAGGCATTGGTTCTGTGGAGATTCGAAAGCAAGTGATAATGAAAATATACATAGGTATACAGCTTTGTGGATTGACCAGTTGAGAATACATTTTTGGGATCCTGGGGGTATATTAGGTTTAGACTGAGAACTTCCGGCTGTCAACAATAGACGTAATTCTCTCGATCCTTACTCTCTTGAAGCGGAATGATCGAAAAGGCGACCCGTTACGGAGAACCTTCATGATAAAGCAACGCCACATATATTCTGTCCATAGTTAGTTTCTCCATAACTGACAATTTGGAGCCATAGGTAAATATAACCTACCTGTCGTCTGGACCTAAATTCTTCGTACATCCCCAGCCAAAGCTGTCGGATGTGGCAATCATCTTGTTGACCGGTGACAAGTTGTACTTCGCAAGGCGGCTGCGTCTCTTCGAGCACGTGCTGAGTGGCTGTTATCCATGGCTATCGCAAAATTCGATTAGCTTAGCCAAGTTTGAGTCCGTTGGACGCCAATATTATGATTCAAATACCTTGGGAACAGGCCAGTCCGAGAAATGGAGGTACTTGGCAGCTTCTAGGACTTTCTCGGCATCCCACGATTCGTCTGCATTGCCTAGATAGGCTTCATGGTCCTTGGAGCGAAATTCCCCCGTCAGAAGCATATAAGGACGATGCGGGATAACAAGTGCTGTATCTCCATATAACCTGTTCACAATGTCCATGTCATATCCACCAGAAACACCATCCCATATCTCATCCGTTAGACGGCTGAACTCTGCTGTGGACGGTTGAATGAGCATTAGAGCGGAAGTAAAAACTTTGTCTTCTTGGTGGAACCAGTATGCCAGTGGCATAGCGACCGGAGCCGATGGGAGCAGAAATAGCTCGTCCATTGTCTTCATATATCTGTTGTTACAATGGAAACCACGCTTAACAGACGAACCTGTAGGAGAGTGGCGTCAGAGTCTAAGTGAAGGACTCTGTCGTATTCTGTTTGATTGAAAGTGAGAAGCTTCGTGTAGCTCCTTGACCACGTTTCTGCGCCCACTTTTAGTTCGACGTATTGCAGCAGTGACATCAAGCGACTTACCACCTCCCCCGCCCTTGTATATCACCTCCATTGGCTTGAGTTTAACTGCGTATTTATCTCTTGCAAAACGTAGTAAATGAGCTTCTGGTGAGTCATCTTTCTCAGACACGAGAAAATTAGATGGGTACATCAACTCGAGATCAGCTTTGCTTCCAAGCCGATGGATGGCCTCGAATATCATGACTGAGTTACACAAGTAAGATCTATCCGTTGCGTATTGTGTGTATGCAAATCGTGACCAATTTATCTGCTTCTCGGGCAGATGATCAAGTTGACTTTCTTGCAGAGAGATTGAGGCGCTTAGATGTCGCAATGATATCGCGAGCATGGCTAGCATTAATATCGCTATCAACAGGGCGCGAACAAATTTGGAATATTTTGAGGTCATATTCTTGTATATCGTCGGAAAAATTGCAAAGCTTGTGATCTGATGGCTGTAATATGTAGATTTGCGCCAGCTCGCAGCAGCTATGGTGATAGATGTATAGCGAAAGGTTCAGTTGTCTAAAAGAGGATCTTTCACCAGAGATGATCCCACCCTTGGCTGTTCATACTAGCAGCCTTAGGGCAGCGCGAAATGTAAGACATTGCAGCGAGTAGCCATGAACTCCGAACTGGGCGGCTAAACGTCGGCCAGCCAAATCTGACCCACGCTATAATAGCTAATGACCACAGCGACTAGTATGTTTGCTATAATCTCTTGAATGGCTGAAAGTAGTCCTGCTTTTAGTCTAGCGGTTAGCACTTCGACACTAAATTCGACGGGTAATTTTGTCGTTGCCATCCCGAGGACCAGTATATCTCATCAAGCATAATTCTTTCTGTAGGTAAAGCTGCAGACCTAACTTAGTACTTTCTCCTGCGATCACTTTCGTCAGTCTGTATCCTTCAGATAATAAACATTATCCTATGGTATGGGAGAGTTGTTAAAGACATTCTTTATCATTGGGCTCTTCTTTAAAGAGGTGGAGAACGGGTTCAAACGTCCGGTCTCCTTTAGTTCCGGGATGGTTCTGTCCGCAAGAGTACTACCATTGGCGCTCGACAGGCGTCATTTGCTTTCAAGATGCTTTGAGTCAAACACATCTCACACATCCCATTGTGATTGATCCCACCTCACGTACATATTCCAGGGTCTGAAGCGCTGTACAGATCAATCGACCTATAATATGCTGTCGATCTTCGTTTAATACAGTGGCACTCCCGGTCTTCCATTTTCACGACACCATTGCTGCGCAAAGTCGCAGACTCTGGAATGAGATCATTGTCCGTAGCCATTAATAATTGTTAGTACCCCAACTGTCGTCTTCCAAGATGTTTTCATGATGAAACAGACACACTTTGTGCGTCAGTTGGCATCTAGGTATGCTGTCAGTTTCGTCTCAAAAATCAGAATGTGTCAGTAGCCCCGAGACAGAAGTATCAGAGTCGTCCTGCCTACCTTGGCCAATGTGACTCGAAGCCTGATACTGCCCTCTTAGAAAAGCTCGACCAGCTTGCTGCATAGCTGATGGGACCAGGTACCGTCTTCCATTTGGAGAGATACGCACATCACGGTCCAGATTCCTAACAATATACTATCGATCTTAAGTGTTGCAGAACATAGTTCTAGCGTCGTTCCATGATTGCCCAGACATGGGAATGGGAATGCTTGTCCATCACCAAGATTGGTCCCACCATCGCATGATCCACGATTGGAGACGCTGGTTCTTAGTGCACGACGGTAGTTATCCGGCTGTCCATACAAAATTGGCAAATAGTGCGGCAGTTTGGCTCAGTTCTTCTGGGTGGAAACTGTGCTAAATTGTGGTTGACAGGGAAGACGCCTTAGGCTTCTACTGAACAAATCTTTGGTCAATATAATGAAAGTTTGCTCAGGAAGCTCAATCAAACAAAATAGAAGTAATGACATATGTCGCAAACACGTCAGCTTCTAGGGCGACAAGAAACAACAGGAACTGTTATTGCCTTTTAGTACCTGAGTGAGACGGTTAACAGTATTTACATCCTGCTGTACACCGCAGGGCGGGCGCCCGGCCTTAAAAGCATCTTACGTTGCTGTTTCGTCCAAGCGCTTGTCCTATATCTGAGAGCAGAAATTTGAGGCTTGAATGGTGCGTATTTTCGCAGGATTGATCCTAGCACAGTCCTTTGAGGCTGCGTTTCCATCTCATGATCCTGGTTTGTCCACGTCAGGGCCGCTCGTGCTACTGGGGCTGCAAAGTCAGTGCCAGGAAGCTTCTCCATTTAACATTATACGGTGTACAGAGCGTGGGTATCCAATTTTATCAATCCCTACGGCGCTTACGAAGGTTTAGAGTTTTGGTGTGTCGTTGTCTGTGCCCTCCTTATCTTCTTGTCTGCGCTAATTTTGGGTGGCTCGGCGCATCTTAATCCCTGCAGTGGATTCTGTGAAACGCGCTGACTCTACATAATTCTCCTTCCCAGATACTACCACGAATTTTGTCTTTATAACTTCGAAGGAAATGGAAAGCGGAGAAAAAAAAGAAACAGAGACGTACATTTTAATATGATGGATGAAAGAAGCTTACTATTTCTAGTTTACTCCTATTAATGAGCCTTGGACATGATATACATGCGCATGGAAACATACCTCAAGCCGCAATCAACGGCCTGTGGCAATAAGAAGTTCAACGCACGAGTGCAATTGGAGATCCACAACTAACAAAGTCTTCTCTGATGGTCGAAGAAGTATTAACAAAAGTGTAATCTTTCGCCCCTTTGTCCTTGGACACACCTCTTACAGTGAAAATTGTCGGCCTTTCTTATGTGGTCAAAAATTCTTCCATTCTTCTGCGCTTGTCACAAATTGGACTATCCGAATTAGTAGAGCATTTATTAGTTACCACAGATATCATATACCTGACAACTCATTTATGCTCATCAGACTGCAAAGGAGTTGTGGAAACAATCAACAATGATGTATCTCCCCACAGTAGATAGACTCAGTACTGTAGTATAGCATTAAAATATGATACTGGGAATAAACCAAAGTAAACGACTAGGGATTTAAAGCAGCTGATCAGCTGCACGTTGCCCTGATCTCAACGATTGCATAGCCGACATAAGTTGCTCTCCCTTGCGTCGAGACTCTATGCCTCATGATCATGACGCAGCAAGAAGCGCCTCGCGAGCGATCAATATAGCAAGACGGAACTTTCCATCGCTGAAATAAATAAAAGCAAGTCAGTCGGGATCATCAGCTGCCGGCCATGTGACCGGGAGAGATGAAATTCACTGGTACTTTTCCCGGTCATTGTTTCCCCCTCAGCTTCCCGTAAACAAACGCGCTGCAACGGTTTCTCCTCCCAGGAAAAAGTCAGCGATACAAGCACAAGCAAAAGATCAAGCTCAGCCCCTACATAGCTTTATCGAAGCATCTTCGCCCAAACCGAACCCCTTGACTATCTGCGGAGGCACCGACAACAAATGGCCCCCGCACTAAAGGCGGGTCACTTCCAGACTCACGAGTCCCCCGCATCCGGCACCATCATCATCCGCGACTCTCTCTATGGCGACCACTCCATTACCGAGCCCATCCTGGTCGACCTGCTTCAATCTACCGATCTCCGTCGACTGATTGGAATCTGTCAACATGGTGTAACCGGACACCTCGGCCTCCTACCCAAGCAAGTCAAGATCACGCGCTTCGAGCATTCCGTTGGGGCATTCCTGCTCGTCCGCATCGCCGGGGGGAGCGTCGAAGAACAGGTAACCGCTCTTTTGCACGACATTAGCCACACCGTGCTCAGCCATGTGGTCGACTGGGCGCTTTCAAAACCGGGCGAGGAGAGTTACCACGAAGTCCATAAAGCACGGTATATTCGTACGACGCAGATTCCCAAGATCCTGACCAAACATGGTGTTCCGCAGACTGTCTTGGATGAAGAGCAGTACCCGCTTGTCGAGATGGCGGCACCACATCTCTGCGCAGACCGACTGGATTACGCCCTGCGGGATATGGTTGCGTTTGGGATACTCCAGCTGAGTGATGCGCACCGGGTCGTCGCAAGCTTGAAAGCGTTCCCTGATGCAGTTTCTCCGAATCGGATGCTTGTGCTCAGGGATCAGAAGGCGGCACTAGACCTTGCGAGGGCGTATCTAGTTGCGGACCGGGAGGTGTGGTCTAACCCGACACATGTCGAGATGTATAGAGGAACTGGACAGTTGATCGGGAATCTTGTTCACGAAGAACGGATCCACGAGAAGGTGCTGTGGAGCACGACGGATGATCAGTTCTGGCAGTTATTGAAGGATATCGCGGATCCGGAGGAATCGGAGATGTTAGAAAGGTTTGAGACTGAAGGACTGGTGGAGGAGGATGGCTTGCGCCTACATAAAAATGCCAAGGTTCGTACTATTGACCCTGATGTGTATGTTTCTGGCACGGAAGCAGTTGCGCTGTCGGTGGTGGATCCGGACTGGGCTGCTGAGCGCGAGAGCTATATCCGGGGACGAGAGGCTACACGAGAGGTGTGATTGTAACATTACAGCTGGTTCAATAAGGATAAGTAGATGAGAATGAATTTGCTATGAACAAGATAATCACTATCGATACATCTACTTTCCATGACTCTATTTACAACTGCAACTATATCAAATGTATTCCTGCCTCAGGCACAAAACCCCGCTGGCTCTTATCAACCCACCAATTGCGGGCGTCCAAAGTATGACTCCCCCACGAACCCCTCCATTGCGTCCCCAAACTAACCTCCAAACTACTAACTTTCTCTAGCCTTCATTCCTTTCAAACTTCTTCTGTATCCACGCCCCTCTCATACACCCATTGTCTCCAATCCACCTCAAACAATGGCCACCGCATACACCCAAACCGACCTCCAGGGCGCCCTGCCCCTCATCGCGCGCGGCAAGGTGCGCGATCTGTACGAGATCGACGACAAAACCCTCCTCTTCATCGCGACCGACCGCATCTCCGCCTACGATGTGATTATGGAAAATGTACTTTACCCTATACCACCTACATATACCCAGTCTCCTACTCCCCAATACACATGAACCAATACTAATCATAATTCAAACAGGGCATCCCCAACAAAGGCATCCTCCTTACCCTCTGCACCCGCAAATGGTTCGAAGTGCTCACCACCGCCCTCCCCACCCTCCGCACGCACTTCCTGACCCTCGACCTGCCCCCGCAAA